CTTGTCTAAATGAAGGCCTGTGCACAGCCAGGAAGAATTTGAGCCAGCTTTTGAATGTTGGGAGCAGGTGTGATCCTCAAGTTTCCTTTCTAGATAAGGAGATCAAACGCGTGAAAAGCATTTACAGTGATGGGGCTACCACCACCACCACCACCACCCCCCCGCCCATGAAGTCCGATTGGGGTCTCTGGCAGAGATGGAGTCATGGTTCTGGTTCACAACATCAGACTTGAGCCCCACCTGCACCCCTTGGGGTTCTCCAATGGTGGAGGCAGGGCTGTAGCCAAGTTTAGGGCTAGAAGCAGGACCAGCTCTATAGCAGCTTTTCATTTATTTGTTTATAGTTTTTTGCAGTGCTGGGGATTTATTTGTTTATTTTTTTTTGCGGTGCTGGGGATATGTGCCTTGGACATACTAGGCAAGCATGCTAGGGCTGAGCCACACCCCTGCCCTCAGAGCAACTTTTCTACTGCCTTCTGTGCATTAGGGAAAGGGGCGATGGAGCTCATCCTCATGAGTCTGCTTGCCCTGAGCGTACCATCCCTGTTCCCTTCCTAGAGTACTGATCACAGTGTTTGTCAGTGTACAGTTGGCCACAGAAATAGCATTTCCAATGGCACACCTTTGCCACCAGCAGCTGTCTGGGCCAACGTAAACAGAGTTCAGCTGCTCCCTCCCCGTCTTCCCACCGTCCTGCATCCCTCTCCGCATGGAGGCTTTGTGTCACATTGAGGCTGCCCTTTAGCCATCCCACCCTCCCTGACTCCCTCGGGAGATAACATGTCAGGCCTGTGTAATCCCACAGCACTTCCCCCTCCGAACACCAGAAAACCATCCCACCTGTTCTCCGAGCTTGAGCGCAGTGTAGAGACCCTGCCTGGCAGTGTGGTTTGGGGTCTGCTCCCCTTACTCAAGTGTGAGAGGTGGCGGAGAGACGGCTCAGAGAAGACGCTTGGTTAGCAGCTTGCGTGTGTTCATCACCACCCCAAGCGCTGCAGCCTTCTCTGCCCACTGTGTTTCACCCTCACCCCTAGGTTTTCCCTTGCCTGGCCTTATGTGCCCCCCACCTCTTTTCTTCTTCTGTTGTGCTGGAGATCAAACCCAGGGCCTCTTGCTCACTGGGCAAGCACCCCACCCCGACTGTATCCCCAGTCCTTGTGTTTTTTTGTTTCCTCGTGATAAGTCCCACTTATTGAGAAGACAAGAGGGCCGTAACGCCCTGCAGGCTTTCCCTGAGCTTGTTTTGAGGAACAGAAATTGGGTCATGGAGAACCGCTGACCTGGTCCTGCTTCCCCACCCTCTCCCTGCACCCTATCAAAGAGTCTAAAAATATTGTCTTTCCACTGAAGAGAGTGAGCCTTTTGGGCTGGGGTAGGAATGGCGGCAGGAGGGCCAAGAGGCCTGGGAGTTACATCCTTCGGAGGTGTCAGAGACCTGGTGGCTGCCTCAGAAATCCAACAGGAAGCATGACCATAGGATTCCCGTCAGTGAAGGCCCATGGTGACCTGAGTGAACACGCAACCCCTTGGGGATCCTGTCACTGAGAACAGGAAGTCCAGGCTAGTACATAAGCAGGCTAGGACAGAGCCCCCTTTTGTTCACAGGCATCTCAGAACCCTTAGTTTAAATCAGCAGCCGTCTGTTGGTCTGAAAATTGATGACTCAAAACCTTGTCAAAACCCTGAGGGATGCGACAGTGAATAGGATGTGGCTCGCGCTGCTGTCTGAAGTCTGGTGTGTAATCTGACAGAACGAGGGAAATAGTAGCGCAAACTTCTCTCTCCCTTTTGTTCCCCTGGTTCGGCCTGCCTCTCAGTCTTGCAGCCTCCCAGTACTATGGCTACAGGCAGGAAAAGGGGAGATTATATGAAGAGGCTCCCAGTGAGGTGGCCACACGGTCATCAGCTGCCCAGCGCCTGTGACAGGCAGCCCTGAGACCATGTCCTGCCACCGCCACGAGGCTTGGCTTCACGATAAGGCCATCGTCTAGGCGACAGCTGCCTCCCACCCTCGCTGTCACTCCTGCGCTTCCTGCGCTTCAGGTTAAGGCACAGGGCAGACCACACCTCCCAAGGCTTGACGTGGCTCCCTAGGGAGGCCGCTCCACGCTGGCTTAGCCTTCAGAAGGACCCCCTGCTTTATCACGGTCACGGCAGTCTGTTGACAGCCTAGGTGACCATCTCTCTTCTGTTCTCCGAGTAAGAAAATGAGGATGCTTAGTAACCGTGAGAACTGAATTCAATTTAGCCTGACACACGTTGGCTGGCTGCCTTCTGTGTGCAAGGACAGGAGACGGTCCGCATGCCTTCAAAGGTGGCTGACCTGGTAGGGAGGGAGGAGCACAGTTACCTAGGCGCGTTCCAGAAAGATACTGGGGACGTGTGGCGTCTCTGGACTTTTCCCGTCTCTGCGTTGCCCCGCATGACTATGCCTTTAAAGCCCCTCCGCCCCCACTGGTTCCTCTGTTGGCATTAGAGTCTCGTTCGGTGCAGACTGCTGTCAGGAACATATGCTCTGTTAGCAGCCGCCTCACCCAGGCTGCACAGGGGGCCCAGACAAGGTCTGGGATTGTGGCAGGTGGGGACAGCGTACGCTAGCCAAGACTGCTTAGCTGCAGATAGCAGGTGCCAACTCCGCCTGCCTAGGCGGAGGGGAGAGTTGTTCTGACAAGGCAGGCCCTCCCAGAGCCCTTATTACCCAGGCCAGGGGTGTGATTGGAACTGGAAAAGGACAGAAGGGACAAAGGAAGCCCTCCAGATCTCCTCTTTGCGTGTCTGCATCCTCAGCACACTACCTGCGACTTTTCCAGACTCTGTGCCTCCCGGCCCTGAGCTGGCCCGTGGCTGCTCAGGGTCTGTCTTTCTAGAGCACAGTTTCCTCACCCAAAGACAAGGACCCAGCTCTCACTGAGGCCCAGGGCTGAGCTCCTCACAGGAAGGAAATCGGATCGGCCCAACCTGGGATATGTGGTTCCCTTCTAGTTCCTTGATGCAGCCGCACCGTGGAAGATGGGGCCCCAAGAAGTGTCCACTGACTGGAAAGGACAGTGGGTTCTTTGATTTGTCTTCTTATTACCTCCAGTTTGGGCTGGATAGGGAACAAGGGGAATTGAAAGGAGTCCCATGTACTCCCATGGAACAGGAGCATGGAGTGGCACCAGGAAGACTTGCCTCCTCCAGCAGGTTGTAAATAAGACTTGGAAGTTTATTTTTTCAGTGTTTGTGTGGTTGGTTGGTTTGTATAACGCTGAGGATGGAAACCAGGACCTGTACATGCTAGGCAAGTGGTCCACCCCTGGGCCGCATCCCTAGCATGTAGATGCTCAAGTTAGAACCTAAACTAAAACGCTAGAGCATTTTGCAGGTAGAGTCACAGGACTCAGCTGGATTTTGAGTGGGGCGGAAGGTAGTGGAGCAGCTCACTGGGGGTCAGGCTCCGGGGAGCTGAGGGTGGGTAGGGCAGGCAGAAGCAGCGGGACTCTCCAGCCAGTTCCTTTGGGCAAGCTCTGCATTCACCTTCCGCCCTCCTCAGAAGCCAAAAGGAAGTGTTGGCCAAGACAGTGCTCTGATGCTGTGGTGACTTTCAGTTCCTAAGCAGGCAAATTGGGTAGGTGCGTCGAGGACAGTCATGCTGAGCTGAAGCTATCCCACTCGCTGATGCCAAGCTAGGCTAGGCACGCTCAGCTGCAGTATTACATACACTGTCTGTAGTAAGTGACGTCCATCTGTTATAACTAAGGAGGCTTTTTGGAAACTGACCTCTGAACTTTGAAAGGGTCTGTTGGTGAGAGTTTTTGCGGCTGCCTCAGGGTTGGCTGGAATATATCGCTGGAGGCGATAAGTTAACGGAATTAGCAATGGCGCCAGGGGCACGAGAGGCGCCGCCTCCTCCTCTGGTACATATGTGTGGTGAAGAGGACAGCATTGGAGGGAACCTTGTTTCTGAGGAGCCCTTTGGATAACTGCTGGATTTTCATCTTTCCTTCTTATTAATTGGTTTATTTGGGCCGGGGATGTAGCTCAGCGCCACAAGCGCCTGCCCTGCAAGCACAAGGTCCTGAGTTTGATTCCCAGTACAAAAAAAAAAAAAAAAAAAAAGGTTGTATTTGTTTTTATTTTTACTGTGGTGGGTCCCCCCACCCCAGTGCCTTCCTAGTGCTCCCAGGGGCACTATGCCGCGGAGCGGCTCCCCAGCCTCCAGGGTTTTCCTAATTACTAAGAGTTCCATAAATCAACGGAAACGGTGATCTGTTCACGTTTCTGTTCTTTCACCTCTTCGTAGTTTTCATTTAAGGGAGACTAGTAATTGTGCTTTCCATAGATGTTTCTATTTGGGCAAACATGTTGGCATCCTGGGCAGCCATTGTAACAGGGAGAGCAGTCCTAGGAGTGACCCCCGCCACTGGCCGTGGCCCCACTCCTGAGGGGCTCCTGCACCCCTGAGCTAAAGCTATCCCATCTGCCCGTGACAGGCTGGGCGAGGGAAGCTCAGCCTCAGCGGTTCCTGCTCTATTGAAGAAACCTAGAGTTAGCTTTGATTTCCCATCACGCATCAATTTCTCCTTTCCTTTCTGCTCAATTTGCCTACGGTTCCCATCTGCACCAGTGAGGGTGGGCGTCCTACTGGGAGCCATTGAGCCGAGCCTTCACTCCCTTCCGCTCAGAGCCCCAGCAATTGATTTCCCTGTGATTAGGAAGATGCCTGCATCTTAGGATGCTCCACGGTGCTTAGGTGTTATTTCTCTGCCTCTTCTCCAAGGAAACACATGCTGAATTAAGTTCTGTGTTTTTGTTCGCGCTCAGCAGAACCGCTGAAACCAGGATTTCACCAGCCGTGCTGGGGCAGTGACTGCGGGAGAGCAACGGAATAGGTTTTTCCGGTGTGCTTCACGCTGGAGTGCTGGAGAGCCTTGGCCTCAGAAAGGACCTGGGGTGCCTTGCCGCCTCAGAGCAGCCTAGGCGAGAGCTGCCGCTTCACGGGCCTTTCTGTCTCCTCCCAGGCGTGGGCAGATGCCTTTCGGAGCAGCCCCGACCTCACTGGTGTGGTGCACATCTACGAGGAGCTGAAGAGGAAGGGGGTTGAGTTTCCTATGGCAGACCTGGACGCTCTGTCTCCCATCCACACTCCCCAGCGGGTAAGCTTCCAGCTGGCATTTTCTAGAAAAACCGACTGCAAAACGGGTGAGCCAAGCTGCTGCTACCACCCTTCTGCTGCTACCTTTAAATTATTCAGCTTGTCGTCATGCTTTTTTAAAGCTCCAGGGCATTTCTTTTTAATAACAAGGGGAGTGCAGGAGTAAGACAGCTGGTTGACTGGTGATTAACTGGCAGGGGTGTCTCCCCCCTGGTTTTCACACTGATGGTGGACGAATATAATAGAGGGATCAGTTCAGGGTTTTCATGGGAATTGCTGCTTGGGTGGAGCCTTCGTGTGAGGGTCATTAGCACCTGCTTTGGAGAGGCCTATAGAATATGATGTGGGGGTCTGTCCTGGGTCCCCTTGAGCCCCAGAGCACCTCAGAGCAGCGCACAGGGGGTAACATTGCTCATCAGGGGCAAAAAGCAGCTTCCAGTTTTTTGACTGTATAGATCAAACGGATTTTTAGAAATATGGTGCTAGGGATCCAACCCAGGGCCTCGTGCGTGCTACACACATGCTGCTGAGCTACAGTGCTGGCCCGGTCAAATGGCTCTTAAGTATATTTTGAGCTATAAACATTCAGCATTAGTCCGAGCATCCTTATGCTTTTTATATTCAGCCTTACGATTGAAAGCCCAGGAAAGACACAGGTATGGGCATCTCACTGAGGCTCCCACAGTACTGTCGGTGCACTGGGCAGCCCTGCACTTCAGAATTAAGAGAATGCAGGTAGCCAGGCATGGTGGAACATGTCTTAATGCCAGCTGCTCCACAGACTAAGGCAGCGCGATCACGGTCACACTAGGGATGTAGGTAGCTCAGTGCCAAGCCCCGAGTTCAGTCTCCAGTACTGAAAGAAAACAGAAAAGAAAAAAAAAAAAAAAATACACCAGACGGTACCATTCATGATTTTCAGGAAGGTTGGTCCCTCCGTTGACTGGGCTGGGAAGCAGCTCCTCGTCCTGGGGAGAGCTGGGAAAGCTCCAGGATCTAGAGGCTGTGGCCCGGCCTTGCCCCATCCGCCCGTCTCTGAAATGGGGCCTTCAGGAGGTCCGTGTGCTACACTGTCTCTCGTAAGCACATGCACAGATGTTCACGAGCCTATCTGAGATGCGCCAGGGGAAGGCGCGAGGACTTGTACTTTCCGAAGCATTATTCACGTTACGATTCTTCCAAACCACTTACTAGGCTTTGTGGAATAAACATAACCTACTTTATTCTCCTAATAATGACATAGAGCAGTGTTGTTGTTCCTATAATTATAAAGAACATTCGGTAAATTGCATAATTGCTATTTATATTAGTCTACTTGTAAAGGCCAAAATGTAATCTTATGGTACCAAATAAGGATTCGTGATTAGCAAAGCTTATTACAGCCCTCCCTCCTCTTGGATCCCGAGGTGGTCTTCCTAATGGAACCGTGATCAGAGTGGCCTTTTTAGTTATGCTGGTTGTCTCTTGCAAACTCCTGAAGAGATGAGTGGATGGAGGAGCCACTGGTAGCTCCACGGCCGGGGTGGAGATGCGGGGCGGGTGGAGAGGGTTTCCATGAGCTCTGAGGGAAAGCACCACCTAGCTTGGCGGTGCTGGGCCAGGTCACGTGGTAACCCAGGTGAGCTGAGGACTTTGTTGTTGCCCTGCCAGAGTGTCCCAGAAGTGGATCCAGCGTCGACCATGCCCAGGTCCCAGTCACAACAGAGGACAACTGCTGGCTCCTACTCTTCTCCTCCTCCTGCCTCCTACTCTGCCCCTCAAGCCCCAGCTCTGAGTGTGACTGGCCCCATCACAGCCAACTCAGAACAGGTACTTGCATGCTTCCGGGCCACCAGGAAGCCAGGTGACCACCTTCTGTCACCTTTCTGGGAGACACATGCAGGGACTTCTCCAGACCGGGCACTGCTGGCTGTGGGAACACAAAAGATGGAAGGGCCCGTTCTCTGAGGGAGACTGACATGAGGCTGTCATGATAGAGCGTGGTCGTGCCGTGGCGGAAACAGAGCCGAGCGCTCTGTGAGCCAAGCTTGAGCAGTGCCCGGCAGGCGCCTGGAGCTGAGCGCGGAGGGCTCTGAAGCCAGCGTGGGGCTGTCCTTGAGGCCCGTGCAAGCAATGGCCGGGTGTGTGCGGAGCACGGAGGCGCAGGCTCCTGGGAGCGGCAGGTGGCCCAGCTGGAGGGCAGGTGCACGTGTAGGGCCTGGGCGGGGAGGAAGTAGTGTCAGAAAGTGAGGCTAAAAGCGTAAGAATGCGCTTGAGTGGTAAACAGGCTTACCTGTCACACCGAGAGTTTTGCATCCATCCTAGAAGAAAAATTAGCCCTCAGAGAACAGGGGCCCAGTCAGCAAGGCGCCTGGGAGGCAGAGGCTGCAGTCAGGGAGGCCTTCTGGAGGTGCTGTCCCAAACACTGCCCCCTTCCACAGGTCACTTCCTGATCAGCTAATGCCGTGTTACCCCAGACTGGGTACTTTCAGGTGAATTCTGAAGCCTGGTCTTAGATGAACCTGAAGGATTTCCATTAAATTTCAGAACTGGTCTGACTTGGAAAATCAGTGTGTCCCACGTTTGTATTTCCAAACCCTTGTTTCCTATCTGCGACAATGCCTTTGTTACGAAACCTCACTGAAACGGCAGGGCCAGTCAGTCGTTTGCGGGTGACAAGTGCTGCCCCAGGACCGTGTCATCGGCACTTCTCCGCCAGTGCTGGGCGAGGAGCGTGAGCAGGAAGCAGGCCAGGAGTTAGGCCGGCAGGCTTGAGCTGCGCACAGTGAGCCTTCAGCAGGAGGCGCGTGTCAGTCTCCTGTCCATCAGAACGGGGGCTGCTCCTTCCTGCCTACCCCGCAGAGCAGATGGGCCTGCTCCTGCAGTCTTCGCTTGGTATCACGAAGACAGGCTGTGGGTGGCGAAGGCTCCACGGATGACCTTACCTTCCCACTTCTCTCCAAACGGAGGTCCCCTTACGGGCAGGCCAGGAGATGGGAAAGCTGCCCCTGCAGGGAGTGGGTGTCACAATGGACAGGACTGCCCCTGCCTGTAGTGTGGCTCATTCTGATCTCCCAGGCACAGTGGCTGACATCTCCTTCCTGCTTTCCTCCCTGTGACCCAAAGATTGCCAGGCTGCGGAGCGAGCTGGATGTGGTTCGGGGAAATACAAAAGTCATGTCCGAGATGCTGACGGAGATGGTTCCCGGGCAGGAGGACTCCTCTGATCTGGAACTGCTGCAGGTGAGGAGGACCATCGGCGGGAGGGCTGCTGTGTGTTGTGATACGACTTGCTACCTGGGGGCTGGACCGTCTGTTGTACTGTTGTCAAGAGGACTACAGTGGCCCACACACAGCCTCATACCTCCTGGGGGTGGCCAGAGGCCAGTACCACCCCCTATCTCTTTTAGTTCCCTTAATAACACTCTTCTTGATTATAAAAGGGCAGTAATAGAATATATAGTCACCTTCCCCCAAAGAAAAAGAAAGAAAAGCGAAAATACTTTTCTTTTAACTCAGACATTCACAGTAATTGCTATTGAGGTGTTTTTTTGTTTTTATTTTTGTTTTTGTGTTGTACTGGGAATCGAACTCAGGACCTTGTGCTTGCCAGGCAGGCACTGTGCTGCTGAGCTATCTCCCCGGCCCTGCTATTGAGGTTTTGATGTATTTTCTTTCAGACTATTTACTGTGTTTACTGTAAATCTAGGAGAGACCACGCTCTGGTACAAATTGACGTGTGGCCCTGTTCCCTCAATGTCAGGTCATAGACATCTCTGCATCGGGCCCTCTTTGGCCTGACGGCTGTGGGTACCTTCTCTTCCCCCTCCCCCCAGGGAGGAATTCCTGAGACTTCACAGAACTTGCAGTTTCTGTCCCTGTCCCAAGTGCTGAGTACGCTTAGGTTGAGGGGCTCAGACTGTGGTTCCTGAGGACCTGCTCCCACCCCCAGCCCTACAAACCTTGAGCATGGCAGGAAAGAGTCGAGGAGCCAGTGGCCCATATCCCCACCCAAAGACTATAGTCAAAGGTCTCCTTGGGCCTATTCCCAGGCCCGCCAGACCCAGAGCCCGTGGCCAGATATCTACTACACTGAGTTTCAGGTGACTGTGGAATTTGAAGGAAACCGCAGCAAGACTGCCCTGAGGAGCAGTGCCCTTCTGGAAGGTGGAGAAAGGATGCTGGGAACTGCGTCTCTTTCCAGCAGGAGGCAAGATGCATGAGTGAGCGAGTCAGGTGCCAGACTGGCTTGGTGACCTGCCTGCTGTTGCTGCTAGTTCCAGGTTGTACTTGGTCGTCAGTCTTGGCCCCCTGAGTGCCACACTCCCACCCTGCTGTTGGCTTTGGCCATCTGAGAAACACGGCTCTGATGGCCTTGACCGTTTGGAGTGTACATCCCCAGTGGCTTGGTCTCGGCCCAAGGTGCTCCTTGGAGGACCCTCTCTCTACTGGGAGGCTCTCCGTTCCTATAGGAATAAGGGTGGGTGGTGGCCTGCATGGGGTCCTGCACAAAGCACAGCCCCAGGGCCAAGTAGAGGCAGGAGCTCGGGGCCTTGCTCTGAAGGACCTCATAGCTTAATGCGAGAGGGACAGGGAGACAGTTCCCACCCCGTAGTGTGAGTATCAGACTGCTCTCGGCCCCGCCCCAGTGTGGAGCCTCCCCAGTTCGCAGGCCACACTTCTGCCACCTGCGTTAGTCCGGGCTCGCTCAGCTCAGCAGGGCCAACTGTCCGTGCGCCACGGTCTTGGACCCTCCCCCTGTGGTGTGTCATCACTGGCCCCTGTTCCCAGCCTGCAGCAGTGGCTCTGCCAGGCATTACCCAGATGCACAGGAACCCGAGGGCAGTCCGGGGGCCTGCTGAGGCACTTTGTGCTGTGTCAGCGTCGGAATTCCTGCTGACCGGGTGTTGCTCTGGACAGAACAGCTCCTGGCGGCACGGGATGGGCTGAACAAAGCCAAGATGCTTCCAGACAGCCAGAGCAGATCCAGACAGCAGGAGTACTCCCCGCGTGTGTGTGTGTGTGTGTGGAGGGGGGGTTGCTTTTTTGTGTCTTTTTTTTTTTTTTTTTTAAATGAGTCCATCAGCCAAGACAAACAGAACCTAATCTCCTGGCGTCAGCTCACAGTTTTCAAAAATAGGTTGCTTCCCATGACGTTTTCTTTCCCTCTGTTTTGTTCCAACTCTGAGCCTCCCAGGCAGCGCTGCTGTCGTATAAATCAAACAGAAAAAGACCGACTTGGGGCCCGTGGGAGGCTGTCCTTTCAGCTTGGGAGATGCAGGAGCGGGCAGCGCTGTGTGAACAGACCTAGCTCTCCCGGCTGGGGGCCACGTGCCTGACGTACTGCCTCCTCTCCTTCCCCAGCAGTCAGAAGACAGTGGCCCAGGGGCCCTAAGGGAGGCTGCTACACAGCACAGTGAGCCTTCTGCACGGGAAAATGCCTCAGTCCGCGTGGAAAGAGCTGGGATCATAGTCTGTCCCCAGAAGCCCTCAGTCAAACTGGGGGGCCGCCAGAGTGCTCGGGGGAGAAGCAGTCCAGAGCTGAGTGCTGGCCAGGGCAGTGGGAAGAAACACATCTGTCACCAGCCCAAATGTCTCCGCTGGCAGCAGCCGCTCCTGGTTCAAGTGGGAAGTGCTGGCTAGGAGGAGGAGGGAGTGCGGAGAGGTAACGCAGGAGCCGGCCCCAGCGTGCAGCAGAGTGGTTGGTCATAACCGTTGACAAGTTACGTGCCAGTTACTCCCTGCACATGGCGGAGCTCTGTCAGGTGTGTCCTCCCGCATTCTGGCAGGAGCAGCAGGGAAGCTGGTGAGCAATTTGCTTGTGCACTTGGGGCAGCAGATGGCTGGTACGTGGGTAGAGGCTGAGGCCGCTCCCGCGCCCTGTGCTGACAGCTTAGCTACAGCCCCTGTGGAAAAGGGGCAGAACCTTGGGACTAGCCGTGCCCCCAAGGCAGGTGTCACCCCTGGGCCTGGGAGAGACCTGGGCAGCCAGCCCACCCCCACTCGTGTTCAGGCTTCCCCTCCTGCGTCAGGCCTGATCCGTCTGCTGTCTGCCTGTCTGTCTTGCCTCCCCAGTGGCAGGCCTTTCTCGCGGCCGTGAAAGCGCTTCTGTTTTCAGGCAGGCATCTGGTTAAACCCCGGGAATGGCAGAGCGGGTGGCGCTCACCCTGTCTGAGTCACTGAGTGCACATCTTGGCTTTCGCGCTGGTGAGCTGCATGACACCGGGCAAGTCCCAGGCCCTCTCGGAGCCCGTTTCCTCTCCTCTGGCAGTGTGGAGCGGTTGCTTTGACCTGCGAAGTGCCTGGCGTAGGCCTGGGTCCAGGCAAGTCCTCCGCAAATTGCAGTGTGTGACCTATAACCGTGGTTGGAAAGCCCCCTCTGCATTGAGCTCCGAGCTGCCTTGCTGTAGCTTTGACCCTGGTCTGTCTTCGATAACAGAACAAGACTAATTCCTCTTTCACAGGGATAGATGTTTGGGTATTCAGAGAGTTCCGTGAGCCCAGCCTACTGCCCAGCCTGCGTGGGACAGGTGCAGCTGCTGGCAGCTCGTCTCCTAGAGCAGCTCTTCTCGGGGGGCAGACACTGTCGAGTGGAGAGCTTCCGTCATCCAAAAAGCCCGGCCATGTCTTTCTTGTGTAGCTGTTTTTAGGCATCTCTGAGTCCTGCACTTGGACATTTGAGTCCAGGGCGTGGTGCAGCACTGCACGTGTCCCCGCTAAAGTGCGCACCTTCAGCTGCTTTCTGGACCCACAGAGACCTGGCTTCCGTTACCCACTGCCCTCTCTCCTGATGGAGGCTTTTCACGTTTGTCCTCGGTTAATAACAGCTTTTAATTAATCTGTTATGTCTCCAAAATGGACATTCTTATATGCCCCCCCATCAGACAGTAGAAGAACCATCCTTCCTGTTGTTCTTTGAAGTCACAGATGGTATGAGCCACTTCCCTTCTTGCATCTCATTGTAACAAAGACAGAATGACCAGGGCCATTTTCTCTGGAGAAATCTGGTGTATTGTACATGTTTAGTTGCATTGTTTCCCCTTCCCCTCAAAAGATTTTCTTCTTCTGCACAACAGAACAGATTTTCAAGACCTTATTCCATGCTCTCTAGAACTGGGAGAAGGTTCAGAGGAAACCACAAAAATGATTAAAAGACTGTTTTATGATTGCCGCGTGTGGTGGCGCACGCCTGTAATCCCAACACTCGGGAGGCTGAGGCAGGAGGATCCCTGTGAGTTCAAGACTGGCCTGGGCTACACAGTGAGCTCAAGGCCAGCCTGAACTACATGGCGAGACCCTGTCTCAAAAAGACAAAATAATAATAATAATAAAAAGACTGTTTTATGAGCTGGACCTGAGACTGTCCCCTGAAGAAAAGATAAAGGCATTGGGATTAGTTAGACAGAAAAAAAAAAAAAAAAGGTTATTTCATAACACATTCTGGTAGATGAAAGCTTTTGCACAAGTGACTGGCTGTTCTACCCTTCTGTTGAGGACCAGAGATAGGAGGAAGCCAGAGCTGAAATCTTTGGCGGGAGGGAATTTCTGTCCCCGCTTTTGCACAGGGGAAAGGGTGACCCCGCTGAGCTGCTGGCAGTCAGATGCCTTAGGCCCAGAAGAGTCACTTGGCCTGGGTTGTTGGGACAGAAGGAGAAGAGGAAAGTCTGCAGCTGGACCTGTGTGGAGCTGGCTGAGGATGGTCCTAGGAAGCCATGGGTGGCCAGGTGGCATGGTGGTACAGAAATCTTTTTTTGGTTTTTTTTTTTTTGGTACCAGGAATCAAACTCAGAACCTTGTGCTTGCCAGGCAAGTGCTATGCCCCTGAGCTCTATCCCTGACCCAAAAAATCTTAACGTTCTGGTTCATCTCTTTTCTGTTTCAAGAAAGTCATTTAAAATGTCTAGTCCAGCATGGTGGTACATGCCTGTAATCCCAGTACTCCAGAGACTGAGGCAGGAGGATTTCTGTGAGTTCAAGGCCAGCCTGAGCTTCATAGCAAGTTCAGAGTTGTACTGAATTACACAGGGAGACCCTGTCTCCAAAAAACAAAAAAACAAAAAAATGTTGAAGTCGGGAAATGGAATACCTTTGTCTTTGCAAAGAGCCCTGATGGAGAATGCCTAGGATGGATTCTTTCACCTATTTCTAGGCGGAGGGCTGAGGGAAGCTGTGCCCCTCCAGGCTGGGAGCCTGTGAGACTCCTGCTAGGTGGAAACGGTCCCGGCCACCAGCTCAGCAGGAAGGTGGTGAGAGGAAAGGCAGCAATGCAAGGCCAGAGGAGATATCTCTTGTGCTCAGAGGCTCTGAGACCCCTGTATGGACTCTGCCTTTGGGTCTTGTTCTTCCTGCAAGCTGAAGACTTAATGTTAGAGCCTCAGAAATCCTCTAGTACTTTCCAAACAATATTTGAAAGTCATGGAATCTTTTCCTCCACAAATATAATTCTACAGAGAATGGCAGTATTTATTTTTAAAATAGATGAAAGCAGAGCTGCTCTGGCTGCCATGGGGCAAGATATCACAGAGGTCTCTGGGGCGCCTCCACGGCGTTCTGCAGAATTCCCTGTGTACCCAGCCCCGTTATTTTACTCACAGAGAAGCAGAGTCTGTGACGTGACGAGCTTCTCCATTCACCGGCTGCTTGCTGCCTGCTGCGTGGTCCCTGGCACCCCGCTGGGGCAGGGACCGTGGGGGGAGACAGAGAAAAGCCCCTGCCCTCTTCTGTCTCGTGGTCCTGCCGACGGGAGTGTTTGCAGCCATATTTTGAGACACACATGGCAGCGTACTGAGGCGTCTGATTTGTCTCTGAATCCGGGAGCCACCTAGGATGGCTCTTAGCCTGGGGCTTCTGCTGTGTGGGGTGGCTGGGTTGGGCCATCACCTGGAGGCTTTGCTAGAGGAGCTCTGACGACATTTTGGGGTGGAAGGCCCAGTGGAGTACGTCTCATATGCTGAGCGATTCTTAAGGAGGAAGGGGCAGCTGCAGGTCCCCAGAAAACTGTCCAAATGGACAAAAAGATGGATAGTACATGTGCTGCCAAGGCGAGCACCGAAAAGATGGATAAATAGGAGACACATGGTAAATCTGACACTAAAAAATATTAACGGTAGAGAATAGATGGTGATACATTTACTTTGCTATATGTTTAACATTTTCATGATGAAATTCTGAGGTGGGGAAACATCTTAAGGTCTTGAAGGATGGATAGGAGTTTGTTTCATGGAAAAGAAGGGACACTGCAGGCAGAGAGCTGGCTTCTCAGGGCCCCAGAGCAGAGGGTAAATGCCGAGGTCCCCTGGTATCTCGACAGACTGAGGTGTGCTTAGACAGGTCTGTGGGTTCCAAGTAGCTGTACCCTAGGCTTCAGAGAGGCTTAGAGCTGTCTACCATGACGTGCGTGCACACTTAGCTTGCTGCTTGGCCATTAAGTGCCAGACGGGGGCCAAGCTTTGCTGTCTTGGGCCTTCGTGGTAGCGTCTGCGTTTGCGGAAAGGAGTGTGCCCTGATGATCCTGCCTTCTCCAAAATCCAGAGTGAGAGTATGAGGAGAATCAAGACTAGGAATCTATTTAGAGAAAAGTCTGGAAGGTTTTTCTGGCTTTCTCGGTGACCAAGGGAGACTTGCAGCACCATTCTGGCTATGGAGAATTAGAAGCAAGGTGAAGGGCAGCAGCACGATAGCCAGGACCCAGCACGATGACCAGACCCAGGGTCAGGGAGTCTCCAACAAAGCTTTTTGTCAGTGTGACAGAACCAGACTTGTGAGTGCTCACTTGCCTGAATCCAGGTCCCTTCTGCCCAGTAAGTACAGCTGTCCTCAAGTGACTCCGGGCTGACCCACCTGGGGCAGGCCTCCCTCGGCTTCCCCCACCTGGAGGAATGCGCCCCAGAGCTGAGCAGCGTGGGAGGAGGGACAGCAGCAGAAGCCAGCCGAAGTCCCCCAGCATGCTCCTCCTTACACAGACAGGCCCAGGGCACACGGGCCCAAGGGAGCGAGGTTGGAAAGTCTCCCCGATACGCTGGCCTGAGCGTGGGAGAAACAGAACCTGCCTTCACTCATTAGTCCTCTCAGGGACACGTGGAGAGTGTCCCTGTGAGTTAGTCACAGCACCAGGGACGTGGGAAAAGACATCTCAAGCCAGGGACTGGAGGAGAAGGCGGATTTGGAGCCCAGCCGCAATACTCCTGAGGGTGAGTGCCGTGTCCTGGTGCCAGGGAGCCTGCGGAAGGGGCGCCTTTCACCCCCTTCTTTGCTTGTCTGAACACCTCCGTGGCCCAGCTCAGTAGTGCGTGGCTCCATGCCAGGCTTCAGAGCACCTGTGGGGGTAAATGGCAGCGCCCCTCAGGGGGGTTACAATCTGGCAAGAGAGAAGACTTTCCAAGAGAAGGAGATCGTGAGCCAAAGTAAGGAGCCCTGCAGAGCTGTTACTGTTCGCTCGCTGCCTCCAGTGTCTGGGTGGATGCGGATAGCATCTCACCTCTGCCTTAACCTTGGTGCGATTTACAGTTTGTTTAAAGGCAGCTCCTGGCTTGGAAGGCTGAGGGGCGAGGCTGGCAGGCCTGCCACATCGCTGTAGCGTTCTTAGTCTGGTATACAAGAAGGCAAGGAGCCTGGAAGGTTATTTGAGGGCGTTTCACAAATAAGTTCAAACAAGAGTATCAGCGGGGCGTTTATCCCAGGGCAAGGAGAACTCATGGAATCCAGACCATAAAGTATAAGGCTGTGTTCTCAAAGGACGTTGCTTCCAAGGATCAAGAGGGTGCTGTGCTGCCTAGGGGTTGCAAGTGTCATCCTTGGCCGGCGAAGAGCTCTGTGGGAGCTTGTAGAGCTTCTGAGACCTTGGCAAGGAGACAGCCATGCCAGCGTGAGTCATAAAATATACTCGTGCTATTGCTGGCAGTATAAGTGAAGTGATGGCATATTTCTGGAGGGCCTTTAACAATCAGTGTTCTAAATGGCCACACAGACTGCCACCTAGAAATCCCACCGGCGAGGAGCTCGTGCCGTGCGAGCGCTTGTCCAAGGGTGTAAGCGTCATGTATGCACAGTTTATCACGGCGTTATTTGGGTTCCCCCCAAAAAGAGACCACAAGCCACATGCCCCACAACACCAAAACGGTAAGACGCAGTGTGATACACACAAAGGAACGCAGCAGTTCGTGCAAAGTAACAGGGAAAAGGGTCTGAAATATTTTGGTAAAGAAAAAGCAAGCTGCAAAGAATCACGTTGTTATACCTTAAAAATGGTTTGCACAAACGCATGCGTATCTGCACACAGTGGTGTATACGTGTGGACTTTCAAAAAAGTGCTGCATTCTTGGGGGCATGAGAGGGAGGCAGCAAGGAGGGAGCTCTTATTCTGTATTCTGCCCACATCTGGTCCTGTGAAGAAGCGTGTACTCCTTGTGTGACTTTTAACAATCAGTACAGATCTTTTCAAAGACACTAGAATGTGACAGAAAGCATCCCCAGCAGGCCGTGCAGAGGTGCGTGTGTTCCCTAGGAGCTGAACAGGACCTGTCGGGCCATGCAGCACCGCATTGTGGAGCTCATCTCCCGCGTGTCCAATGAGGAGGTCACCGAGGAGCTGTTGCACGTCAATGACGACCTCAACAATGTCTTCCTCCGCTATGAGAGGTAGGAGCAGGCGCTTGAAAGGATTGTTGCCATCACCGAGGGATTTCTTCCATAAACAAGGAGAGGGAGGGAGAGAGAGATTAGAGTCAGAAAATACTCATCAGAGATGCTAATTTCTTCCCAGATGACAGAGAAAATGCTCCTGTTCTCCTGGGAACAGCAGCAGGAATTTGACATGCAGAACTGGGCTCTGCCCTTTGTGAGCCTTCGGCTGCACTGCCTCTCCCCTAGGTCCCCAGCCCCAGAGAAGGCTGGGATCGAGGGGGTCTGGGCCCAGAGCTGCCGCACCTGCTCCTTTGATGATCCTTTGAATTTGAAAAGGATTAAAGGGAAAGAAAACCTCTAGGAAGAAAAACGATTTCCTCTTTCCCATCTTGAAAAAAGCAGGGATTTTCCCTTTGTAAGTGCCAGTGTGTCTGCAGTGATCAGGGGAAACAGGCCGGGTGGAAGTGCCGGATGCTGCTGCTGCTGCTGCTTAGGAAAACACGCTCCTTTCAGGTCTTTCTGCCGCCAAGTCATCTCTAGTCTTCAGGTAACAAACCTGCAAATTCTTTTCCTTTTCCAAGACTTCCTCGGGATAGGTCCAAATTCTAGGAGTTGGACAGGCCTGTCCCTTAGGCTTTCCTGCGTAGCCCAGTGTCAGACCAGAAAGGACCTTGACCAGGCCAACCAGCTGCCATTTATGATGAGGCCCAAGAGGATGGAACCGTGGCCGAAGTCCCTCGAGTCTTGGAGTCCCTCCAGCTGATTCACAGCTTCCTGGATGGGTTGATGAGGAGGGCGAGGACCGGCATCAGTTAGGGCAACAGCTACTGTGCTTACGTTTCCCTTCGGGGGCCCAGAAGATGGTATTGTGGTCGTCACATCGCAGGGTGGTCTCAGCTTCTGCCTGTGACAGTAGGGGTGGGCGGCCCTGTGCCATCCAGCAGGTGACGTTGCCTCCGCAGTAGGAATGTGGAGCCATCCAGCAGCCTGTAGGGTATTGGCCAGAGAATGAAAACGGTTCCCAGGAGCCCTGACTCCCAGCCGGAGGCCCCCATATCTTGCCATGTGGCTTCAGTTTCCCTTGTTAGGGGCTTGGTTTTGACTGGTTAGACCTGTTTAAGCCTTGGATATAATAAGATAACAGGAGCTAATATGGCCATTGTCACTCACAAGCTCACCTGTCCTGGCCTTCCAGAGAACTCAGAGGCACTGTCTGGGACGAGCAGCCCTGTGGTGCCATCCCAGTTAGAGTACCTTGGTAAGACTAATGGCCCCCCAAAGCTAGCACGGAAAAGGCCCCTCAGGATTCAGTGCTTCCAGGGTGTCACTATCCCTGCCCTCTAGATGGACCCCTGTTGAAAAACATCACACAAGTCAAAACTGTAATAGACGCACACTGCCTAGTCAGATCATTGCTTCTGGGGGTCCTCTGCAACCAGGTGCTGGTGGGCAGCAAACAAGGAGCGGCAAACCATCCCAAGCTCTGGCCAGAAAAGTCTCCTGGATACCTCTTGGCCCGTGGCATTTGGAGCTTTTATGTATTTATGTATTTATTTATTTTTTTATTTTTATTTTTTTTCCAGTACCGGGAATCAAACTCACGACGTTGCGCTTGCCAGGCAGGCGCTGCGCCGCTGAGCTAAATCCCCAGCCCCACATTTGGAGCCTTTAAATACAGTGCAGAACTATGTATGTTGGCCCCCATAGACCTCACAACTGTTCATATATTCCCTGCCAGTGTGAGAGTGATAGGGATGGCAGAGGGGACACTTCCTGCGGTTGTTCACAGTCAGGCCCCGTTGATAGCCATCTGCTGACTGGGCGCAGAGGAGACTGGCCCAGCAGAGGTGCCTGCCCCACCCTCCTGGCGCCCACTGGGTGGTTGGCCCAGACCTGTCCACAGCTCCTGGCCAGCCTTTTCTCCAGTCATGGCCAGGGTCTGTGCCTGTCCTTTCTGTGCCACCCCATGCATGCCCCACACCCTTTTGTCCAGAGGTAGAATTGGGGCTATCCGGCAAAAGTAAGGAAGGGCCTGTGGTTAGTCCCTGGCTTTGCAGACAGGCATGTGGGATCCTCCAGGTCAGGTGGCTGACTCAGCTTCCTCTGTAGTGGGCAGAGCAGCGCGTGGGCCCGTGTTGAGGAAATGGCTGCGATGCTGTTGGTGGCCCCCTCAGTGTGGTAGCCAACACTTCATACCCGCTAAGACCAGCCAGTATACCTGTGGAAGAGGCCGGCGGCTGGAAAAAGGCGTAACACAGTTGTACATGTGGGATCTGCTCTCTCCCTCCCCACATGGGACTGTCTGGTCGCCTTCCCAAGAGATGCGCCAGCGCCGGGCCCCCATGCTCTCCGTGGGCTGTAGGTGCAGCAGCCCCCACGTGGCTCCCGTGCCCCTTACTCCTCTGCTTTCCTTCCCTGTTAGGTTCGAGCGGTACAGGTCGGGGCGATCGGTTCAGAACGCCAGCAATGGAGTAAGTGAAACCCCCATTCTGAGGAGGGTATCCCACACACAGTAGAGGCTTGGCCTCGAAACATTTGGATAACTGTAGGGTGCACCCTGGGTAAAGGAAGGCCGGAGAAGCTGGCTGGCATGCGGGAGGGTGGCACAAAACCAGGTCTTGAGCTCCTTCAACGTCACTGTCTCATGACTCAGGGCCACCTTCTTTTAAGTGGGAAGGGAGAAGAGGCCAGCAGGCAGCTCCGTGACAGCCTGGGCCCACCATGGACTCCGAAGGTGGTGAGGGAGCCACCTTGCGTCTATGTGGGGCCGTATTGATGTCTTTTCTTACAAAACCCTACACAGTACCTGCCATGTTCACCTCGGCACTACCCAGAGGCCCGGCCCTCACCCTGCCTCCTGTCCCACAGGTACTCACCGAAGTGACGGAAGACAACTTGATAGACCTGGGCCCTGGCTCTCCTGCCGTGGTGAGCCCCATGGTGGGAAGCACGGCGCCTCCATCTTCGCTCTCCTCCCAGCTGGCAGGCCTGGGTGAGTGTCTCACTGCTGCAGAGGGGCTCCCAGCCGGGCCTCCTGAGGCCTCCTCGCCGCCGGAGGGCTGGAGAGAGCATTCTGGGGAGCCCTGTGAAGGCGTATTTCTGAGCCTTAGCCAGCTGTACAGCTTCCAGTTCCTAGTTTCTGTCCTGAAACTTGAAGTTTAAGCCTGTGTTGGAAAGCAGAGGTGGGGGAAGTTCCAAGTGTCAGCATTAACTAAGCCGAAGGTGGCAAAGAGGTTTTAGTTTATTGGTTGCTTGAGACTCAGTTTTGATCCTAAAGCCAAATCAGACCTAAAAGATAAATGTGACAGATTGGAGATGTCTGCAGTGGGCTGAGAAATAGGATGTCATGGCACTGACAGACATACTTACCTTCCTCGAACTGTTCCATTAACCTAAACGGTTCCACTGTGAAACTTACGTGGAACTCCCCACCTCGTATACACCATCAGAATGTGTATGGGACTTAGGATTCTCCATTTATATTGAATGATACCAACTTGGAACAAATAAAATAATATTGACATAATTAACAAACATGACCCTCAGAATTCTGTCCTCTATCTTTCTTTTCTGTTTCCTTTTTTCATAACGTTTGTCCTTCTTCCTTTGTTTCACTTCAGTTAAATTAAGATTTTGTTTAAGCTGGGCATGGTGCACACACCTCTGATCCCAGCACTGTGGAAGACTGAGGTCAGGGGATTGTAGGTGCAAGCCCAGGATAGGCAAATTAGCAACTTAGTGAGACCCTGTCTCAAAATAAAAGATAAAAAAGAACCAGGAATATAGGTCAGTAGGAAGGCCTGGTGTTCAGCACCAGTACAAAAGAAAAAAAGAAAATCGAAAAAAAACCAAAAAAACCTTTATTTAGTGGCCTGTTAGTTGCTAGAATTCATCCTCTTCATATTTCCTATATCCGTAATCACTGTTTCCTTATCAGGACAGATTTCTTTGCCTACAGTCCATCCAGATTATGGCTACCAGATTTAATGCCTGAAATTCAAAGTACTGTCTCCCTTCTTAAAGAATGCCTGGCGTCTGCCCATCGACTCCTTCACCTGGCATTTGAGCCTCGTCCCTGGCTGTTTCTCAGCTGCCTTCCCAGCCTCCTCCTCCACTCATCTCTCCCTTGAGCAGTGACACTTCACACAGCCTGGCCTTCCAGACCGTGTGTCCGTGTCCCTGCCTTCTCCTCGTTCCCTAGCATAGCCCCCCTTATTGTAAAAGGCCCACCCTTGTATCGGTTTCGGGCCTACCCCAGTTCCTTCAGCCAAGTACAACCGTTGTTTGCCTCTGACCACCTACTTGACGACCTTCCTAAGGCCCAAGGACCGTGTCACATTCCTCTGGGTCCACTGGAGGTCTGGCTCTGAACTTGGCAGGTGCCTATGAAGTAGATACCAAACAAATAAGCTACCCAGATCTTTCAGTACTGCGACTGAGGGCCCCTGACAATGGTGCCGTGGGAAGGCTGCAAGTGCTCCGGCCGCTCCCTGCCTTCTCCGCTGCCAGCAGTCTCCGCTTTGCTCATGACACTCTCTCCCCTTAAGCAGCTAGGGGACCGTACTGTCCTGTCTCCCCCAGCCCTGCCCTTGCGGTACTGGGCGTGTTAGGGATGGTCTTGTCCTCCTCGCAGGCCCTTCACCTGCCCCGCTTGTGTCCTGTCTTGGAGCCCCATCGGGTCCACAGTGTACATTGGTTCTCACCTGCCGCTTGTTTTGTTGTCGCAGACTTGGGGACTGAGAGTGTCAGCGGCACCCTCAGTTCACTGCAGCAGTGCAGTCCTCGTGATGGCTTTGACATGTTTGCCCAGACCAGAGGGAACTCCTTAGCCGAGCAGCGCAAGACGTACGTGGGGCCCCTCCGGTGGCTGTCTGAAGATGGTGCAGGGGGTGTTAGGGGGAGTTGGCTCAGCCCTGGTCACAGTCCGGCACAAAGAGGCCTTTTGTTTACCAGATCCGGGACTGCCAGGAGCTTTAAAATATGGCTGTGAGGGTTTGGCACTGGCTACAGATGTTGAGTGAACGCCAGCCCCTCTCCCACTCCTCGCTGCCCTTGGGGTTGGTCCTGATGTCAGTTCTCCTGCAGTTGCAGGGGTCCACTCTTCTCTTCTCTCCTGCCTGTGTTACAGCTGCAGACACAACCTTCCACAGCCCCCCATCTGCAGGAGCTCAGATACAGGAGGGTGCAGCCAGGCAGGGACCCCAACGTGTGCCTCACAGCAGTATTTAACTGCCAAAAAAATGTGGAGAGAGCAGAGGCTTTTACAGTAGCCACTCTGGCAAAGATGAGCCGTATGGAATTGGAGGAGTTGATTCCAAAACAGACAGTCCCTTGCGTCTCAGAAAGGCACAGGGCATGCCTTGAGCTTTCTGTTCAGCCCGAAGGTGATTACTGCTTCTAAAAGTAGTATTACTGTGCGTTTATCTAGTTCCCCTTCTGAGGCGCTCCAGGGTACTTTTGACACCATACCACCGAGCGCCAGAGCGGCCCCCCAGTGTTGTGACCCAAAAGAAGGACTATGAAAAGCACAAACCCCAGGCCCCAGAGTTCAGTGGGGAGCTACACTCGAGCCCAGGTGTTCTTGTTTCAGCTGTAGAGATATAGCATGAGCCCTCAGCCTCCACCCAGGGCCAAGGTCGCACCTGAGAAAGGTGCTGTGGGACAGGAAATGATGAGTTACACCACCCCCACCCCTGGGGCCACTCACTTTGCTTGTGCTGCTTTGTCTCTAGGGTCACCTATGAGGACCCCCAGGCTGTTGGAGGACTCGCTTCTGCACTAGATAGTAGGAAACAGAGCTCAGAAGTGGTAAGTCTTATATCCTATGTTCGGCCCAGTCTTCTGCAGGGAGAGTCAGGCAGTTTGGTAAAGCTGGCTGCATAGTTCAGCAGAAGCTGACTTGTATAGCAGCAGGGACTGGCTAAGGGAGGTGCATGGAGCACCTGTCTGCCACCAAGCAGTCTCTTACTGAGTCCTCCCCCGCCCTGTGAGATGACAGTCCTGTGGTACTCGAGAGAAACAGGTGGAGGAGGTGGAAGATGCGCCAGGCGACATGCAGAGAGCAGGCAGCCTGTGGGGATCCCATCCTGAGAGTTTCTGACTCCGTAGCCCCTGATCTTCCCACTGCAGTGATAGGAAGCTCTTAGGACTCAGGCCTCCCACGGCCACGTATGGCCTCTCTTCACATCTGACGGTGCCCTGGAGCTGGGCAGTGCACTGACAGCATAATACTGTCGCAGGGAAGGCGAGTACCAACCTGACCCAGCTCTCTGAACTGGTAGCTGGCCTAGCCAAGCACTGCTACCCCAGTGGAGGGCAGCTGAGGGCCAGGATTTCTTTGGGGAGCTGGACCAGTTAGGGGGTGGCTGGGAGGGTTTCCCAGGAAGCTCTCAGTTTGGAAGGAGTAAAGCCAAGGGGAGGCACCTTGAAGTTGAGGGTGGTATTTGTGTGGTCCCTAAATGCAGCTGTGGCTTGTCTAAGATTTCAGATCACTGAAGGAGAAGGGATTTGTATGTAACGCTTCTCCAGAGCATTTTCTTACCTGTGCCCGACTAGGAAATAAGTGGGGGTACATGCTGTTTGCAGGGGCAGCTATCTACCACAGCCGAAAATCCTGCCAGCTTCCCCAGTGGGCAGCAGGGGTGCAGGACCCACCCATCCACTGCACAGGGAGGTATGCAGAGGGCTCTTTGCTCCTCGAATACCAGTTCTTAGCTTTCCATAACTCTTGTCCAAACAAGTCCAGACAGGCAGTATGACTGTAGCCTGGCATCTCTAAGAAACCCCCTCCCCCTCCCGCTCCCGGGCTCTTCTCATCCGGCCTAGCCAACATGATCTGAAGGGCTGCATACCTCCGCGCTGGCCACCAGGGGGCCCAGGAGAGTCAGTGGCTGCCTTGGGCTCTCAGGACCTGACCCTTCCCCTGGAAGAACAGGCCGTTCCACTGAACCCCAGATGCCCACCATCCAGCAATAGTTGTTGTATTTTTCTCCCGTTATTCAGGCTGTCCTGCTCCCAGCCCGTTAGAGAGCCGGCCAGAGTCCTGGCAGTCTTCTGTCCGGCAAGGACCCCCTGCCGGGCTGCCTGCTCTCTGCTCCGGCTCAGGCCGGCCCACTCCGTGCCAGCATGTGTCCTGCCACACCCTTGCCTTATCAGGGCCCAGGCCCAGGCCCCAGTCCAGGTGTGGTGATTTCTTGCTTCACCCTCTGCGTACGTGGCCTCCTGCTCCCAAAGGTCCTGAGGTCCTGAGGACAGCAGCGAGTTGGCCGCACACGCTGGCACCTTGCTGTCCATGTTTACCTTCCCTGCGGCAAGGCTGGCCTCAGCAGTGTGGGCGGATTTCGGCTGTGTCTGTGTGCGGACATCCCTCTGGCTGCCTTGACCCCGCCCAAGCCCTGCCGACCTGGAAGTGAAAACTGGCCAAGAGAGAAACTCAGAGCACAACAGCGGGAAGAGTGTCTTAAAGCCACACCTCCGCAGATACAACCCACCAAGTCAGCCATCTCCGCTTTGAACATTTTTATCATTTACAAGATGAGTAGAGCCTAGAGAGTTCCCAGGCGCACAGGAGCAGTTGGCCTGTCTCTGTTAGGCTGTTGGGGTTCACGGTTACTAAACTTCTTTTCCAGGCACTAAGGGAGAGGCACTAGGGGCGGGGCTGGGGGGCAGCAGGTCACATTTCCTTATGCGACAAATGACCAAGTCTAAACATTGACGTTTCAGTTTCCGCAATATATGTTACGACTTCTTCGTTATGGGTCTTTCTGTGACTTTTCTTTCTGGGACTTTTCTGTCCTCGGCCCAGCAGAGAGGGAAAGGTGGGGACTTTGACCTGGAGCCCATAGACAGCTGGCTTATGACCCAAGGAATGGTGAGGAGCCGTTGCTGAGCCGAGCCGCGCCGAGCCCGCTGTCCATCCCAACCCTCACCCGTGTCACAGCCTCTTCCTCGTGCCACCTGCCCAGCCCTTGTGATCAGACAAGGCCACACTTGCCTCTTCTGATGGGGGTGCCAAATTTCCCCGACTGTCTTTGTGTAATCTCCTGAGGGGACAGACTTCCTGCCCCAGAAACACCATCTCTGGTTTCTGCTCACGCTCATGCCCTGGGCCTTCGGGGTCCGTGGCATTAGCAGTGGGGAGGAGGGCCCGTCCCTCCGTGAGTTACCTCAGGAGCTCCCGGCAGTATTCATTTTTCCAGGATGAGCACAAGTACCTGTGGCCCTTGCTTGGGAGGTGACAACTCTGAGGGAGCAGTCACGAAGCATCTGGCCAGTCACAGATGCGCCCTAGCCTCGTGCCAGGGAATTCAGCAGTTCTAGGCTTGGTGGACGTTTGTGATACAGTTACCTGTGTCCACTGAGTCAGTTCAAAGGACTTGAGGCCTCTTACAGTTACACACACAGTAGGCTCAGAGTGAAAAGACGACAACTCCAGGGAGTTTAACATCAGAAGCATAGTTCTCGTCTGGTGGAGCTTTTCTGGCACGGAGGCCTGGGAGGATCTCTCCTGCCTTGTCTGTTCTGGTGGCCCTGAATGCAGTATGCAGAAGGAGCGTGACTGTTTCACCAGGCTGACCATTTCACCCCCAGCATGGAGCCCAGAGCTCTGGGTACAGGTGGAAGGGCGGGAGTGGAGGCAGTGCAGGGAGTGGAAGCTGGTGACAGCGGGAGAGGTGGGCCTCCGCCCTGCCAGTGGGTGGAGTAAGACGTTGCATGACCAGCCTTAGGTTCCAGGCCAGGCTGTGGCCAAGAGAGGGGCCCGAACCACTGACTGTCCCGGAAGGGCCCGCAGGTCCCAGACTGCAGTCAGCGCAGGGCCGCCTGCCTGAGCGGGACCTGTGCCAGGCAGGGCCACAGAACCGTGGGTGTGTGCTTTGGCTAGCGATCTGTGCACGGCTGTGCTTTTGTGGCACCGTCCTCTTGCTACCTGCCGCTGCAGCAGCATATCCCTGCCCTAGACGAGAAGGCATCAGCCCCAAGGCCAGCTGGAGACGTGGGCTGGCCAGGCCCCTCATTTGCTTCTGAAAGACACGCTAGGCTATGAGTGGCTTTAGAGCAGACCCTGACGACCATGTCTGCTCCACTGTTCAGACTGAGAAAATGTAGCCCTTGTACCTACTAATCCTGCAAAAAAGGATACTGCCTTCCCAAACTGTCCAGTGTGGCCTTGGCAGATGGTGTGGTGCCTGGCCCTGCCCACACAGGGTGCCGCCCCCCACTGCCCTGTCCCCACACCGAGCTCCAGTCTCCAACCTCCGGGAGACAGACCTGACTAACAGCTAACCTTGTGTCTCACCTGCCCACTGCGGTGTGTTTTTTTCTCCTTTAAAACAATATTAATTGCTTTGCTTTATTTCCCATAGTATAGAAACCCTGAGTCTTCCCAAACCTCCTGAGTGCAAATTCTTACATGGAAACTTTTTGTACTATCGAGTGAGACCAGAGGCCTTTAGGCTGTTTCTGCCATCGGGTTTGGTGGAAGCAGCAGGGGAGAGTTCCACACCTCCTGAAAACGGCACACCCGTGCTACAAACTTGGTCTTGTTGCATAGAAAATTGGACAGGTAGACCTTGTGGGCTTGGGACCACGGGAAGCTGCAAACAAGCACCTCACCAGGACCTCCGTCCCCTGAGACTTCAGGTGTGAGGTTCCCGACCCAAAAGCTACCTAGCCGTGCCAGGCTCGGTGCCAGTTGAAGAGAAACAAGATCTGGCATGGGCCAGTGCTGAGCCAGTGGCCCTATTGGTCTTTCTGCTTTTGCCAGAGAGTGAGTAGCTAAACTGTCTCTCATTTGCGGGGTACAGCCGGGGATGCCCTGGTGTGAACAAATATAGGTCAAAGCAATAGCAGAAGTAGGTTAGTGAAGTCCAATAATGCCAAGCCTAATCGGAGGAGCCCGCGAGGCCCCTCTCGCTCAGGACAAATGATCGGTAATGCTGAGAGACTCAAGCCTGGCAGGCCCAAGGCTCCAGAGAGCCTGGCCACAGAGAGCCTGGCTGTGGCTGATCTTTTCTGATCCCTGAAGCTGAGCCAGCCCTGCCTACAGCTCCAGGTGAGAGGGAACTGACAGCGGGACGATCTGGCCTCCTCTTGGAACCCAGTCTGCTGCCCTAGCACCTGAGCTCCCCGCTTCTCTTGTAATCTCAAAACAGAGCTGGTGTGACTGTTGCCTTGGCCCCACTAGCTCAGCCTGTCCATCTTCACAGGACGTGGCTTTGTAAAGGCCTTAGTTTCTGTGGGAGAATGTTCCAGTCAACTTCCTTTTTTTTCCTCTTC